TAATGACCTTTTGCTTTCTTCAGGTATGATGTCATCCCACAACTTGTCTGGTTTTCGGTCATTAGGGTTCAATGTGTCAAATCTACAGTTGAGGTAGTCTTTAAATTCAAGAGGTATCTACTCAATATCATACTTTATCTACATAACTTATTTTAACTTTCTTCAGCTTCAACTCACATATAAGCAATTGATAGTCTTTTCAGCAATTGGCCCTTGGTCTTTCCTGATGCATAATATTGAGCTTCTCCATTGTCTCTTTCCACAGATGTAGTCAATTCCATCCCTGTGTATTTCACCTAATGAGGGCCACTTGTATAGTTACCACTTATGTTGTGGAAAAAGGTATTTCCAATGAATTTGTGGTTGGTCTTGCAAAATTCTATCATGGATCTCTGGCATTGTTTCTATTATCAAGCCCATATTTTCCAATTACTGACTCTTCTTTGTTTCCAATTTTCACGTTCCAATCACCAGTAATTATCAATACATTTTGATTGCATGTTTGGTCAATTTCAGATGCAGAAATTAGTAAAAAATCATCATTTTCATCTTTGGCATAGTGGTTGGTGCGTAAATTTGAGTAATAGTCATATTAAGTGGTCTTATTTGTAGATATATGGATATTTTCCTATCACTGATAGTATTGTACTTCAGGAAGGATCTTGAAATGTTCTTTTTGATGATGAATGTGATGCCATTCCTCTTCAATTTGTCATTTCTGACATAGCAGATTATATGATTGTCTGATTCAAAATGACTAATACCAGTCAATTTCAGCTCACTAATGCCTAGGATATTGGTATTTATATGTTCCATTTCATTTTTGATGACTTCTAATTTTCCTAGATTTATACTTCATACATTCTACATTGTGATTATTAATGGTTGTTTACAGCTATTTCCTCTTATTTTGAACCATGCCCCACTAGCAATTGAATATCCCAAAAGTTTTACTCCATCAGAAGAAATAAAGTAGCAACTGGTATCAGACATCACTCAATTCTCTGAGTAGCAGCCCCCATCTTTTCCTGTATTGGGAAGAGGGACATATAAGTGAAGCACTTATATTAAAATTTTAAAAGGGTTCATAGAAAGTCGGCATCATTAAGGTCGACACTACTTTGAGGAAGTAGCTCTTCCCTAGTTATATTTTGAGTACCTTCCAAATAGAGAGGTTCATCTTCTGGCATTATTTCAGACAGTGTTGCACTGCTATTCATGAGATTTTTCACTGGCCGCTTTCTTTAGAAGTAGGTTGCCAGGTCCTTCTTTTAAGTCTGTCTTAGTCTGGAAGCTCTGCTGAAACTTTTCCACCATGGGTGACTATCTTAGGCTGGGTTCTCTAGAGGAGAAAACTAGTGAAGTGTGTGTGTGTATGGCTTCTCCTGGATCACATAGCTGCAGGGACTGAAAAATTTAATATTAGCAGATAAGATGGTAGGCTGCTGGCTCAAGTCTTTGGAGGCTAATGAATCCCAAGAAGATTGGGAGACAATATGGAAGGCCGCTCAAGTCTGAAGAACCAGAGATCAGATGATGACAAACCCAGATGCAGGATTCAGATAGAGCAAAAGGCAAAGAGATTTGCCAGAACATCTGTATACATTGGGTACAGGCCATACCACTGAGGAAATTCCCTTTCAATGGATTGCCTGCTCAGAGCAGATCTCATCATGGAGGTGATTACATTAAATTGGATCTCATCATGGACATGACTACATCATAAATGTCTAACCACTGGGAATCATGACCCAGCTAAGTTGACATGCAACCTAAACCATCACAGTCCACCCCTTGTCCACTTGGCACCTGTAAATATCTCCTTAAACAATACACAATCTCAGTAAAAGCATATAAGTCATACTTGTGCTTAACATGATACAACTAACACATGTACAACCAAAAATGCATTAGCTGTCTTTACATGATGTGTTTTATAATGGAAAAAAAAAAACTTATGCACACATACAAGGAAGAAATACTCATAAAAATCACAGCCCTCATTTCTGCAGCTAGTCATGTGGTATAGCTTGTGTTTAGAACAACTTTATCCACCACCCATTCCATATTCCCTTTGCTCTTGGCAAGCACCTCAGCTGGTCATGGTTCTTTGCCTGGTGAGGTGACACAAATCTTCCTTCCTGAAGGGTCTGGGCCAATAGTAGTCATGTCAGAATTGGCTTGCTCTAGTTTTCCATTGACTTTTATCACAGAACATGATTGTACTAAGAAAAGTCCTAAGGAATTTCCTGTATTCCAGACATACTTCTCTTTATATCCATTATGTAATAACAATCTGATTTTCCCTTGGTAATCAGGATCGATCACACCAGCCAATACAGTAATTCCTTTCTTTTCCTGTTGATCAGGAGGCATACGGAACCCAAAATGGCTGAGTGGCATTCTTCTTCTTCTTCTTTTTTTAAAAAAATTTTATTGTGATTTGGGTGAAAGATTACAGAGCAAATTCATTTTCCATACAGCAGTTGATACACATTTTGTCTCATGAGATTGACTGCAATTTCCAACAATGTAGCAACTCTCTTCCCACTTCTTCCCCATAGTTACCTCTTCCCTGTGTCCTTCCCTTCCATGCATTCCTGGCCCCCTGAGAGGTCTCCCTGTGCATACACTGCCCTTCTGTTTTCTCATGATTGATTTCTCCTAGGAGTGGATCTACCTGATGTAAATGTTCAGCCCATATGCCAGTCTTTTATTAGCCTGGAAGGCACAGGAGTGAGTTCAATTCCAGACTATGGCTAGGAGCCATAGTCTCAGGGGTTTCACCAGGCCCTATCAGACCAGGAAACCTGTTGTTGTTGTTGTTGTTGTTAAGTGCTGTTGAGTCGTTTCTGACTCATAGCGACCCCATGCACAGCAGAACAAAACACTGCCCGATCCTGCGCCAGCCCCACAATCCCTGCTATACTTGAGCCCATCATCACAGCCACTGTGTCAATCCATCTCATTGAAGGCCTCCCCCTCTTTCATCGACCCTCCACTCTACCAACGGAAACCTGGTCTTTTTTTATTTTTATTTTTTTGTAACTTTGAGTTTTGTTCCACATTTTTCTCCCACCCTATCCAGGATCTCCTACACAGACTTCCCTTCGAGTGGTTGACAGTGGTAGCCAGACACCATCTAGTTCTGGTCTCATGGTCATATAGGCTGAGTATCACACGGTCTGGGAGCTCTGGTAGCATAGTGGCTAAGGCACTTGACTGCTAACCAGAATGCTGGTGGTTCAAACCCATCAGCCACTCCTTGGAAGGAAGATGGGGCAATCTACTTCCGTAGTGATACTGCCTCGGAAACCCAAGGAGGGGTCGCTATGAGTCAGGTCTGACTCGACGGCACATAACAACAACAACAACAACAATCACACGGTCTACCAGTTACTTGGACTAATTGTTTCCATGCATCTTTGTTTTTCTTCATTCTTCTTTGCTCTGGATGAGGAGAGACTCATTGTTGCATCTAGATGGTCACTTGCAAGCTTTTAAGATCCCAGTTGCTCTGAGTGGCATTCTTAACATACAGTTCAATGGAATCAAATTGAGTATCCAAGAGGAATTATTCCTCCCTTTGGAACTAAGACTTTCAAACAAGCAGAGCATAGGATCACAGGAATAGGAAGGAAAAATTTTGTGAGTGGAACCCTAGGAGCAATAGTGGTGCCACTCCCATTTCCAGCCCTTGGCTTCTGGACCTGTGAATTCTGGCTATTGGGAAAACAGCACCATTACTGAAGTCTTGTTTAGAGCATATATAGCTTCCTGGAGAATATTGCCCCAACCCTACAAGGTATTGCCACCTAGCTGGCACCATAATTATGTCTTTAGAAATCCATTCCATTGTTCTACCATTCCAGCTTCTTCAGGATGACAGGGAACATGGTAAGACCAGTGAATTCCATGAGCATGGGCCCATTGACACACTTCATTTTGTGTGAAATGAGACCCTTGATCTGAGGTGTAGGATATCATGATGGTGGATAAAGCATTCTGTGAATCCATGGATGGTAGTTTTGGCAGAGGCATTGCATTTAGGAAAAGCAAATCCATATCCAGAGTAAGTGGCATGGCAAAAGTCCTGACTTCTCTAGGCCTTTGACACCAACCCATTGTGAAGGTTGGCAGGTGCCTCAGTACTGCCATATTAGAATGGAGGTCCTGGCTCCCCACACTATCTGCACTGACACTGCAGGATGGGGAGGTCTCTTTACTGACCATGTAAACGAACTCTACTTGATCATCTCTGACACCACCCTGGTGGAGGTGTTGGGCACCTTATTACAGCTTAGGGTAGAAGTGTAGGAGTGTAGGCTACCCATTTATCCTTTGCTGGAATGGAGGCCATGGTGTTTTCTCCCATCCCCCCCCCCCCTGTGGTTTTTGGTGGTATTAGAGTGGTTATCATATAAGTTACATGTCTTCATAGGCTACTTTTTTCCTGGTTCTTTAGATAGAGTAAAAACGTTCTTGTTGAGCCCCCCTTTTTCTTTTGTCTACCTCTGTTGATATTTCTGGGTCACCACATCTTCGATTCAGAAGAAAGAAGGGGTCATCCGCTTCTTAAAGAATAGCCAGTGAAAACCTTATGAATAGCAGTGAAACACTAATATAACGGACTGGGCAGTGTTTCGCTTTGTTGTACATAGGGTCACTGTGAGTTGGAGCTGACTCAATGGCACATAACAAAAACAATAAACATCTTCAATTCCAAGTCTGTGATTAGGGGCAAAGAGAAGCCTTGGCAACTCACAACTGTGTAATTCCTTGAGTCCCAAGGTCCTTAGCAAGTGTGCCATCTTTTAGAGTCTAATGTTCATTTTATACATAATATCAAGGATTTTCAGTTGTACTCAGTGAGAGGAATAGGAAAAGTATCTCTACCCCATATTCCCAAAATCAGAAGTGTCCTTTGATGCTTAATTTAAAAATATGAACCCTTTTAAAATTGCTTGTGCTGTACTTATATGTTCCTCTTCCCAACACAGGGAAGGACTGGGGCTGCTGCCCAGAGAATTGGGTGGTGTCTGATACCAGCTGCTACTTTATTTCTTCTGAAAGGAAAACTTGGAATGAGAGTGAGAATAACTGCTCTGGGATGGGAGCTCACCTGCTGGTGATCAACAGCGAGGAGGAGCAGGTACTCTCTAACAGACCATGAAGCAGGAGCCATGCCTGGGGTTTATACATCTCTTCAGGCTGAGAGGAGGCTTTTACTGTTCTGGGATGCTGGTGCTTGGCAGAAGCCTTTTAGGAAAGTAAATAGAAGAAGGTCCTAAGCTTTTACATTCTACACCTTCTTCCTGCTTTAATCAAACCACTCCCGAAAGAAATCGGTCCATTTAAAATATAACATGTGGGAGTTGAATGGGAGGATGAGAAAATTTCAGTCTGAAATATCAGTTTATTCTTTCAACATGTAAAGCTTTTATATACCATTAGCTACATACACAACAAAGAAAGGGTATTGAGTAGAATAGCGAAAGAAAGTTGAATCTTGAGAATCACAATCAACAATCTGAAATGAAGTCGAAGCATCTCTGAAGTTATGAAAGAAAAAATGATTAAATCTGTGAACATTGTCTTATGCACAACTTTGAAGACTACTGTTTCTTGGAGAAGAAAAGAGGAAAGTGAGTATGGGATTAGAACTCGTATGATCATGGTTAGAACTCTCTTCTATATGTTCACAAGTGGTGTTTTTGCTCCTGCCCTGCTCAGCAACAGAAGTCCTGTGATCATGGTCAGGGGCAATGTGGTTTTCTCGGGTTCCCATATTTTCTTCTTTTTTCTCTACAAGAAACTCAGTACAACCTAAATACTCTAAAGTCTGTGATTCCTTTCTTTTCTTCTCTCAGCAACTAATATTACAGAAGCTGAATAGAAGATTTGCTTATTATGTAGGCTTGTCGGACCCAGAAGGGATCCACCAGTGGCAATGGGTAGATCAGTCACCATATAACAAAAGTGTCACGTGAGTATGTTGTTGTTGTTGTTATGTGCTGTCGAGTTGGACCTGACTCATAGTGACCCCTCCTTGGGTTTCTGAGGTTGTATCACTGCAGAAGTAGATTGCCCAATCTTCCTTGCAAGGAGTGGCTGGTGGGTTTGAACCGCCAGCCTTCTGGTTAGCAGTTTAGTGCCTTAGGCACTATGCTACCAGAGCTCCCCACGTGAGTATAGAATTCAATAAAAGAATTCTGAATCCTGCAGTATATTGGGCAATTCCAGCTCTTGGCTGCTAAAATGCAACAACAATGTCAAAAACAAAAATTTACCTTTTTTTTTTTTAAAAAAAAAAAAAAAAATCCAAGGTCTATTTGACACAGAAGTCTGCTTTTAACCACATTTATATCTCTAAATAAAACAAAAAAAAAAAAACCCATGTTATTTAAGATCATAATTAATTAATAAGATTTAATATTTGTCATAAAGCAAAAATACTAAATTCAAATAATCTTATAATAACTCCTATTTATGTAGTTTTTAAAGAACTTTGATGTACTTTAAAATAAATGACCACCTTTGAACCTTATACCAACTGTGGGAAACACATATGGATTTCACATATGGAACCCCATTTTCAGACAGAAAACTTTAGACTTAGGGAAATTAAATTACTTACCTAAGATAACAGGGAGTAAGTAGCAGATCCAGAGACCTTAAGTATTTCTCCAGACTTCAAAAGCAGTGTGTAAAGAACAAACTGCACTGATACTTGGGACCAGGGGGAAATTTTTTCATCATTTAAGGAAGACCTATGGGATTGGCATCCTATGGGAACAGGATAGAAGGATGAACGAATAGAGAGGAGCCTCTAGTATACTTGGTGGGGAGGATGTGTAATGCGTACTGAGTTGCTTAAGGTGGCAGAATACTGGGCATGTGGGCACAGTTTTCAAGGGAAATGTCAGAGGCATAGAGGGAGGAGAAGCTACTTAAACTTGAGGGTTTGACAAAAAGAGGCAAAAGTGGGGAAGGAATGATTGGGCCTGTCTGACCTGGACTCTCCACACTGTTCAACCCCAGCTCCCTTGGTCTCTCTAACCCTTTTCAAAGCACAGTTTGAAATAGCCTCATGCTTTTTCTCCCTTTCAGATTCTGGCATCCAGGTGAACCCAGTAGTCCTAATGAGCGTTGTGTCATAATAAATTATATTAAAAACCAGTTCTGGGGCTGGAACGATGCCCCTTGTGATGAATTTCAAAACTCAGTTTGTGAGATGATGAAGATCTACATATGAATGGAACATTCCCCATGGACGTGTGGTTGGATTGGCATCTCCCATGAAAAGAATAGCTAATTTGCTCTTTTTGTTTATGTGTAAGTCTTGTGTAAGTGGTGTCCATAGAATTTGTCAATAGGCTTTCACCTATTCCACTTAAGATAGTATCAGTTCACACATTCATTCATCCATAAATGTATATTTATTGAGCATTTTCCATGTTCCACAGAACTTACTTGAGAGCCCTATATCAGTGGGTGGGAAGGATGTGCTACTTTCCTCAGTAGTTTGACAGCACTTAGGTGCTCACAATCTGTTCCTCGTGGGCCTGAGGCTAGAAATGTGTGCATAGGTCTCTGTTTGCTGTTCATGTAGAGCAGCTGAGTGTGGGCTGGGTTGGTGGCGACCACCATCTGTCATCAATCAGGTGGTGCAGGGGCAGGCAGTGGCACTTGCCCAGTGAGTGCTGTTGCAGAAGTTGCAGATGTGGCTTGATAGTGTGGATGCAATTGTTATCTCCTGCCTGATGGGATAAAAAAAGAGAAGTAAACAGAAACAACAACAAAACATAAATAAAAGGAAAATGAAAAAAAAAAAAAAAAACAATAAGGGAAGGGAAAAAGGAAATGAAAACAAGGTGGGGGAAAGAAAAGAGAAAAACAGAAAAAAAGAAGACAGCTGGGGAGTGGGGGGCCTATTCAGTGCTTTTGCTGGCCCTAGGAAGTGATGGAGAGCAGGGAGAGGGTAGGTCAGTGTGCTCTGCTGATTGAGGAAACTGTAGAGTGGCAGGGCCCCTGATCTATGCCTGCAGTTCTCCTGGCTCAGAAGGCAAGTCTGGGTGGGGACCCTGCTCTGGAATAGAGTTTCTACTGGCCTAGGAGGTGGCTTCAAGTCGGGAGGCAGTCCAGGATGGTACTTCTGCTGCCCTAGAAGGGGGATGTTGGTGATTTTAGTCTGGAATGGCATGCTTTGCCCACCAAGGGTAGTGACATGTACATGGTGCCTGATCTATGAGAGCATATCTCTGACCTCAGTCAAGGCAGGGCAGTATGAGAGGGTGTCACTGGCTAGCAGGTGAATGGGCATGGGGAGTGACCACACTTCTGATTGGTAGAGTGTCAGGAATAAGGGAAAAACTGCAACTTTTTTGATCACCAGTCACTAATGTGCATGCTGGTGAAGTCTGGGTAAGTGGAGCTGATTATGAGGTTGCTGTCAGACCAGAACATTGCTTACAAAAGCTCCAAATGCTCACACTGTGTTGGGCAGGTTTACAATTCACCACTTCATATGTCCTCTTGTTCACTGTTTTCATTTAGTTTCTTCTTCTAGTCTCTACTTGATCTATTTATTTGTCCTTTCCTCTGAAGCTCAGGGTTCTACAATTATTATCTATCTCTATTTCATTTGATTTCTTGGGTCTTTGTTGTAGAGGGTCTGGGTAGCTTGTCTGACTAGTCCATCAGGGAAGGTTTGTCTTGAAACATTTAATTAAAGTTAACATAAACATTCCCTTTAAGGTAAAAGAAAAAAAAAAGAAAAGAAAAAGAAAAAGGTTACATATATAACTAAAAAATGTATGCTCAAGTATAGACCAGGAAGACTACAGAAAAATTGGTACATTTGAATTGTGGTGTTTGTGAAGAATATTGAATGTACTATGGACTACTAGTAGAATGAGAAATCCATCCTGGAGGAAGTACAGCCAGAATGCTCCTTAGAAGTGAGAATGGCCAGACTTGTCTCATGCACTTTGGCTGGCCATGATGCCAGAAGGGTCCAATCCCCTGAGAAGGGTCTCATGCTTAGTAAAGGGTCAATGAAAAAGGGGAAGACCTTCAGTGAGACGGATTGATACAGTGGATGCAATCATGGGCTCAAGTGTAGCAACAATTGTGAGAATGGCATAAGACCAGGCAGTGTTTCATTCTGTTGTACAAAGGTCACTCTAAGTTGGAACTGACTCAATAGCAACTAATAACTACACCAATGCTCATGTATTGCTTTATTTGGAGGATATATTTGAACCCATTAATGAAATGTATCTTAGAATTCATCTAATAGTTCATCTTTATAATTGCTATTAAAAACAACATCCAGTGTCATGGCTAATATCAGAAAAATGGAAATACAGAGTCTTGGTGAGAATATTGAAATTATAACCCTCATCCACTGCTGGTGTGAATGTAAGTAAAATAACACAACTTTCTGCAAAAGTTTGATAGTTTCTCAAAAAGTTACATGAGGAATTACCACATGGCCCAGAAATACTACTCCTAGGTATATATCCCCCCAAAAATTAAAAAAAGGAACTTAAACAGATATTTATATACAAATGTTCATTGTATTGTTATTGATAATAGACTACAGGTAGGAATATCCATCCATCAACAGACATAAGGATATATAAAATATGGTATAGCCATACAATGGAATATTATTCAGTCATAAAGACAAATGAAGTTCTAATAATGCTACAATATGGATGAACCTTTGAAACATTATGCTGACTAAAATACATCAGACACAAAGGGACAAATATTATCTGAACCCATTTATATGAAAGATTTAGAATAGGCAAATGCATAGAGACCAATGTTTATTAGTGTTTGCCAGAGAATGAGGGTTAGGAAAAATGGACATTATATTAATTATCATGTTGTACAACCATCACAACTATCCATTTCCAAATACTGAGGGTACTGAGCTTCTGTTTAGGGTGGTTGTAATAGTATGGTTGTGTATCAACTTGGCTGGACCATGATTCTCAGTGGATTAGCAGTTATGGGTGTCATCCCCCATGATGAGATCTGACATAATGTAATCATCTCTATGTTGAGATCTGCTGTGAGCAGCCAATCAGTTGAAAGAGAGTTTCCTCAGGGATGTGGCCTGCTTCCAATATATATGGATGTCCTTGCAAAGATCTCTGGCTTTCTGCTGGATTTGGATCCTACATCTGGCGCCTCATCATCATCTCTGGTTCCTGGACTTGAACCAGTGGCCTGCCATATTGTTTGCCAATCTTGCGATTATTGCCTTCACAGCCTATGGGCCCTCAGCCTGCATCTTACCTGCTGATCTTGGATTCACCAGGTCAGTAGCCTGCTGTATTGCCAGCTGATGTTGGGTTCATCAGCCCCTGCAGCTAAGTGATTCAGGAGAAGCCTCCAGCTTGATGTCTGAATGTATGTATATATAACACTATTTTTGCTTCTCTAGAGAACCCAGCATAAGACATTGACAAAAAATATTTGGAAATGGAGAGTTGTGATGGTTGTACAACATGATAATTAATATAATTAAAGTCACTGAATTGAACACTTAAAAATGGTTGAATGGCAATTTTAAAAAGACGTATTTTATCACAGCAAAATAAAAAACACATAAATAAACATACAAACAAACCTACCAACACTTTAGATTCTTTTGACAAGCTGTCACTTACTAAACAGAAGAGAAAGCAGACAGCTCTATGGAGTGTCCAAGACTGGGGGAAACACTCTTTTGCTCATAGGGATTAAACTGATCAAACTTCATCATTTCTCAAAAGGTGGAAATCTAGTGACACCTGTTAACACAGCAGGCCACTGGTTCAAGTCTAGGGACTGGAGATAAAGACTAGGCCAAATGCAAGATCAAAATGTGCCAAAAAGCTGGAGAAGTTTCCCAAAGCTCTTCCATACATACTGGAAGCAGGCCACATCCTAGAGGCAGCTCCCTTTCCACTGATTAATGTCTCACAGCAGATTCTACCGTGGAGGTGATTACAATCTCATCATGGAAATAACTACATCCAGCTGCCAAACCATAGCCCAGTCAAGTTGAACACAACTATAATTGCCACAGACCCTCACAAGGGTTATTGTTGGCAGATAGTAAAGTTTTTGTACTCTGTATTTTAATTTTGTAACTACCCACTTTAATTTCCTCATTACTACTAATTATTTCACAGACAATTCTTTGTGTTATTCTGATACATATGTTATCATCTGCATATAATGAAAATGGCACCTCTTTTCCAATATTTATTTCTTATTTCATCCTTTAATCTTATTGGTTAGTACTTCATCACACCTAGCCAATAGGCATTCATCTTTGAAAATTTTGCTTCTTCTCTCTCTTTTTTTTTAAAATTTATTGTGATTTGGGTGAAAGTTTACAGAGAAACTAATTTCCATTTCATTGCTTTTAAAATTCAAATTTCATTGATTACTACTGAAGTTGAACATTTTAAAAGTAGTTATCCATTTGCATTCCTCTTTTTGTGAATTTCCTGTCTCTACCTGTTGTCTATTTTGTATAATGTGATATTATTTTTTCTTATTAATTTGGAAGAACTTTTTGCATTAAAAATATTAACCTCTTGTGATATATTGAGAATATTTTTCCTTAAGACTTTGGAAGGACCTTAACTATCTAGCAGCCAGTAGAAATACAAAACAAAATACAAGAAAGGTGCAGGTCTATTGTAACTTAATTATACTTTTCTGTGTATCTATCTGATACTTAAGAAATTGCATATATAATTTTTTATAAACAGAGTAATTTTATATTATTGTATTAACAAACAAAAACTAACAGTTGCCATCAAGTTGATTCCAACTTATGGAGGCCCTAAGTGTTTCAGAGTAGACCATAGGGTTCTTAATGGCTGCATCTTTCAGAAGTAGATTGACAGGTCTTTCTCCCAAAGCTCTATAGAGTTTTCAAGGCTGTGACCTTTTGATAGCAGATCACCAGACCTGTCTTCCAAGGTGTCTTTGGGTAGGTTTGAACTGTCATCCTTTCTTTATTAGTTGAGTGCTTAACTGTTTGACTCACCCAGGGACTCTGATTAATCCAAAGCAATCAAAACAATCACCTCCCCAAGGAATTGGTTTAGGAATAGGCATTAATTGCAAGTCATCCAGTGAATTTCTTCTCCCTTCTTGTTCTCAATGAGATCTGTGAGTGAATCTCTCCCTCCCAGTGAACATGAATGTGAATAAAGAAACATGGAGTCCTGCCTGCCATTG